CAAATGAAAATGTGCATTAGTCACTTGGGTGTATAGTTCTTCAAAGTTTCAGAACCGATTTGGAAGAAGGTATAAAATCATTACTCTCATCCAACTATAAAGTGAGCTTCAAGTTACTCTTCATTTCAGTAAAACTGATTTAATTAATACCAAAACTGAAAAGAAAACATCCTCTTACTTGTAAGTTTAATTTGGGCGTATCCTGTTTGGAAAGTTTAGATATGGTATAGGGATTCCTTCTCCCTGGAAATGTTTATAGGCAAAACACTTAACTACTCTTTCCCCAATAGCTTGAATTTTACTTTGGGCCTCGTTAGCTTCAGATGGTGAAGGAACTCTGTTTCGAGAGAGTCTGTAGTTTGCAGTTTTAGATGATTACACTCTTAATACTGTAGTATGAATAATAATTTCATTTATGAATTGTCACAAAAATTAAGGATTATTCTCCTTAATTTCTTGAATAAAAGAACTGAAATCTGATAATCCTTCTCTGATCATAATTATGTTAATTGTTGATACCATAATAAATTAATACAGGTTATTAATTAGATAATCAAGTATTTTCAAAAATTTTAACAGCACATTGTTTTTTCTTTTAAAAAATCAATACTTAGTCCAGTACTAAGTTCTAAAAAGACCAAGCTCTTTCCCCTGCATTTGGATCTGCTGTGAATCATGAGTCAAGTGTGATTTCACTCTTAAAACTGTTAAACAGGTTTTTTTGTTTTTTCTCCAGAAAAAGGTAAAATCATGGCTCTCAGCTATATAATGAACATGTCAAGAGTTTTATTTACTAATTTCTGAGGGAGCAGAAAAAATGTTGCAGCTGGTTAAAGGTAAATCCAAAGGTAAAGCCAAAGACAAGTGCATAAGCCCATCTGGAAGCTTTTCAGGTGGTTCAGACAGTGAAGAATCCGCCTGCAATGCAGGGGTCCCAGATTCAGTCCCTGGGCTGGGAAGATCCCCTGGAGAAGGGAATGGCTACCCACTCCAGTATTCTTGCTTGGAGAATTCCAGTGGACAGAGGAGTCTGGTGGGCTACAGTCACAGAGTTGAACGCGACTGAGTGAGTAATACTATCACTCATCAAGAAGGCAAAATGAATTTTCTTCATAGATGCAAAACTGACCTCTTCCTCAGTGAGAAAAGAGGTCAGTTGAGACCTGCAGACAGAATCTATTTGTATGTCTGTAAACAGTAATTTGTATTACTCTCAGCTTTCTACAAATAAACTTCTGATTCTGCAGAGTTGTAAAAGAGCTTGAAGACCAGCACGAACCGCAGTGAATCAGATAACCTGGAAGGATGTGTCCTAATTGAATGTATTGCTTTAAATTAAGGACACTTAGCAATTATTTTTTCATCCATTTAAGAAATTTTTACATTCTGTCTTTATGTAACAAATATTGAAGGTAAATGTTTTCTAAGGGTATTCATTATCTAAAACCTACATAAAATTCCCCAACATCACAAAAAGAAAAGCTATTAAAATCATAATAGAATTTAACTTTGTTGTGACAAGTAGGAAGTTTGTTTTTTTAAAGGTGTTTAACTGACACTCCAAAAGTAAAATGTCTGTCTTCTGTAGAAATGGACTGATGAAATTTGTAGGTACGCTGATTTTGCGATTTCATGTAAATAATGTTTCTAGTTAGACTCTTCAGATATATTTGGAACACCAATATAAAGACACAGAACAGATTATATCAAGACAGCTTAAATTGATTAATAATTTTTCATCACCCATTGATTCCTTAGCAATTAATAATCTATATTTCAGAATACAGTCGTTTAAGAAAAGCAAATAGGATACATTAACTTAAGTGGTGTATACCCCTGAAATATCAAATTATTCCGGCACAATAGAGTCTTCCCCTTAAATTTTGCCATAATGGCCTGAAAAATTGTCAATCACATGTACAAGAATAAAGTACTTTAAAAATCTTGCTTCCTTAAGAATATGGATCATTATTATCTTCAGTAATAACTATAGAGAGTACACAGTGTTAATATTCTTGAATTTTCCCACTTAAAAGCAGACTCCCCCCCAGTGGTGACCTTTCAGGTTGTGTTTTCGTCATTGAGCAGGTGTTTTTATTGTGGCTAACTTGCAGCATGTAAGAAAGCTGAAGCTAGCCTGTTTCTTATATGCCTCACCTAGCCTTGTTAATAGATACCAGCATTCCACTTGTTAGTAACAGTGACACAAGAGAAACTTTTACTATTATGCTATGTGGTATTGATAAAGAAGACAGAAAAAGTCTTTTTATGGTAGTTGGATCCTCAAAACAACTCTTCATGTTCTAGTGATAAAACCCAAGTTGGATATCCAACAGAGGTACATGAGCTTATCTGTAGAGCTGATACAGCCTCTTGAATTCTCTCATCATGACAGGAACCCCATCTAAAGTGAAGGCTTGCAGAACTGGAGATGCCAGAATGTTTTTCTTCCTCATTAGTACAAGTAGGGTTAACCCTACTCTTGTAGGATAAAAGTGTGTGATTATTTAACAAAGACCATATTCCTTTTCTTCTGTAATTTGAAAATGTTCAGAGAGACACACTTGGGTGATTGTTGTTAGTAGAAGAGTAAGACTGTGAATTACCTAGCCTTAAGATATAGGAATATGAGGGGAAAATATCTGGAGATTTCAGAGTAGAATAAATCAGCTTCGTGATAAAATCTGTATATAGGCATCTACTGTATTTGTTCTCTTTCTATAGCTGTGTTGGTTATAAGAGTTCATTGTGTTTCAATATTCTGATTGTTAACATCTTCCTTGATGATAGCAAGTGTGGAGCTTTGGCAGGCAGAACTTGCTACCATGAATGGGGCAGGATATATCTTCACCTTTTAGTTACAAACAACAGGACTTTTATGACTAAGTATACATAAAAGTTCAGTGATTACTTAGACCCACATATATAATAACTTAGAGCCTTGAGGCCAATTTTGGGGAAATAGGTGTGGTGTATGCTGTCTGCTCATGTTTAGTGATGTGTTGTGGTGGAAGTTTGAGGCATTGTGGGCAGGATTCCCAGTGCATGCCAAGAAATTTGAACAGCTAACATAGATATCCCGATGATTACTTCCAATTCTTTAAGCATCAAATTGAATAAAGTGAAATTTTAAAATAGACAAGATAAATTTAAAAAAAATTCTCATATCTTAATGTATTGTGTGTTTATCTTTTACTATTTTCAAGAAAAGAAGAATTAAAATAGCATTCACAGTTATTATAAATCATGTTTGAAAGGATACCAAGATCCATTATTATGAATTAATTTAAAATATACCTTAAATTAACATAATCATTTACAGTACAAATGCATTCATCTAGTGTTAGTCTGTTGTTCAAATATTTCTTAGGCTCAGTTGGTAGGCCTACTTGGAAAATTTTAACATCTGAAAATTTCTGTGGTTGGCTTGAAAATCAGCAAATCTAAAAGCTATCTAAGTTGTTGAACTCAAAAATCTACTTAAAAAAAAATTCTACTTTCTAATAATACCCATGATGATTTTTTAAAAATTTAGACATTCTGGAAGTAAGTTAATATTCTATAGATTATTAAACCCTTGGTTTTAAGTGTATTCTTTTAACTAAACAAGTCATTTTTGTGATGATTTTAATTAGAAAAAATACAATATGAAAAACATAATAACTGTTCACTATATTTTTGTCCTAAAGTAAGAAAACAGAAAAATAATCAATATGGTCCAGGACATTCAAAAATATTCTCCAGAAAGCCAATTCAGTAGATTAAATTAATCCATGAAGGAGCTCTATAGAAAGAGCTAGCAAAGGATGGGAAAGATCATGCTGAATTAGTTTTTATCACAAAATTTAAAGATGTGTGAAGTCACTAATGTGTACATTCTATGTAGGAAAGAGTCATTGCTGTCATACATAGATAAGTATTTGAGTTTTTATACTTCAGAGTTATGTAGGAAAATCAGTGTGCGTGCATACTAAGTTGCTTCAGTCGTGTCCAACTCTTTGTGACCACATGGACTGTAGAACTCCAGGTTCCTCTGTCCATGGATCCTCCAGGGAATAATACTGGAATGTGAAAGTCGCTCAGCTGTGTCCGACTCTTTGCGGACATGGATTGTATAGTCCATGGAATTCTCCAGGCCAGAGTGCTGAAGTAGGTAGCCTTTCCCTTCTCCAGGGAATCTTCCCAACCCAGGGATTGAATCCAGGTCTCCGCATTGCATGCAGATTCTTTACCAGCTGAGCCACAAGGGAAGCCCAAGAATACTGGAGTGGATAGCCTATCCTTTCTCCAGCGGATCTTCCTGACCCAGGAATTGAACTAGGGTCTCCTGCATTGCAGGCAGATTCTTCACCAACAGAGCTATGAGAGAAGCCCTAAGAATACTGGAGTGTGTTGCCATTTCCTCATCCAGGGGAATCTTCCTAACCCAGGAATTGAACCCACAACTCTTATATCTCCTGCATTGGCAGGAAAATCAAAGCATTTAAGAACAAATTAGGGATGAAATTATTGGGATATCATGTGTATTCTTTCTGGTGAATGGGATAAACTCTCAGACAGAAAGGAATGTCGGTAGATGAAGTAATGTTCATTTCATAAAGATGCTGCAATAACTTCTCAAAATATCATTTTGATATATTTATATTTTGGGATCTTGTACTCTTTGATCCTATCAGACATGTTGATCAGGATGTAATCAGATTTAGATTGTAACTGTCAGAGCAGTGAGTAATTTAGTATTCTCTAGGAAGTTTGGAAAGGAAGAATCCAAATATGGAAATACTCCTTTTCTCTTCATGTATAATGGGAACATAATTTTGCTTATGTATAAGGATTACCTTATTTGAAGAATTACAGTACACTTGTGATCATTTAAAACCATTTCAGTGGCTCTTGTATTACTCAGTTCATTCAGTCTGTGCTCTCTTACTTAATTTTTACAAAAAAGATTCATGGCAAGTTAGTATCATTTGTGTGTGAATTTTCCAATTGTATTTCAGACTTTAAGAAAAAAAGGCCTTAATGGTTGTGAGAGCCCTGATGCTGACGATTACTTTGAGCACAGTCCACTCTCGGAGGACAGATTCAGCAAACTAAATGAAGATAGTGATTTTATTTTCAAACGAGGCCCTGTAAGTACTTTTACTTTACCTCTACTTTTTATTTGTTGATCCTTTTTGTTAACTTCATTATTTAGGCTCTGAACAAGAAGGAACACAGAGGGTGCGACAGCCCAGACCCTGATACTTCCTATGTGCTAACTCCACATACAGAAGAAAAATATAAAAAAATTAATGAGGAATTTGATAATATGATGCGGAATCATAAAATCGCAGTGAGTACTAAAGTATGGTTTGTGCTTTTATCTTGTGCATGAAGAGACTGACCACACCTCTTGTTGTTTGTTTTCACAGTGGGTGATGACAGCATTAAGTAGAAGGAGGGAGGGGGGAGGTATTAATTTCTTTTGGATTTATAGAACTTCAAGATAAAATTGCAGAAATCTCAACAGTAGTACATCTTCAGTGTCTTAAATGTAGAAGTGAAGAGAAAACATCCTAATCCGGGCTCTGCTACTATCTCCTTACTTTTGAATAGGGCATCTAAACATCCTAGATTCCAATTTTCTCATCGTAAAGTGAATGAATTGGCTCACATAATTTTTTAAGGTCCCTTCCAGCTTTAAATTCCCATGATTTTAAATATAAGGATGCATTTGAGACTTCCCTCTCCCTCTGATGACTTTTAAAATATTATATGGACTTAAGTAGATTTTGAGACTATACAATATAAAATGGCTACATTTTATTATATAATTTGGTGCTTCAAAATTATTTTTAATTATTTTATATAGTTGCTATAATTGTAGCTTACTGTTTGACTCTTTGTAAGTGTCCCAAAACAACTTGGCGACAGTAACTCCAAATTCCTATTCTTTTCTTGCACTGTAGGTGTTAAGGAAGAGTGCCTAGACTTGATTTTAATTTAAGGAAGCAGTGTTCTTAAACTGGTTTCAGAACAAATAGTTACTTTAAAAATTTTCCATGCTCACACATCTAATGGTAAAACAGTGCTTTTTTGATAGTTCAGAGAGTTCTCACTGAAGCTCCATTGGCAAGAGTTGCTTAAGACAATTATTCCTGATCTAATTTTTCTAACACTATATATTCGTTGTAGGCTTCATGAATAAATTGGTGCCACTGCTATTTATTTCACTACCAGAGTTAATTCTCTTAAAACTATGCCCTAAAGTATGTATTATGGATTATTTCTTCAAAATAGCCTGATGCTATAAGAAGAAGCCCATGGACAACAAATTTAAGGAGATATTTTTGTGGTAATACCCTTCTTAAGAAGCATAACAACAGAAAAAATAAAGTAAAATTCCTTTTGACCTCATATGGATGTTGGTGACCTTGCAGATAACGTTAAGCTGCAAAACCATTTATAAATAAAATTAAAATATTTTTTAATGAGTTATAATTTTCTTCCTGAAATAAACTTATCAAATAAAGTACTTAATTATTTATACTCTTTCAACTTTGAATTATCAGTGTTACCTTAATTTGGAAATCACTGTTTTAAAATGTAGGGAGAGGAAAGTTTTTTATTTTCTCTCAAATTATAAAGAGGATTGTTATATTTATCATGGTTAACAAGTATATTATAAGTGGCCTATGGAGGAAATGAAAGAGGAAAATAGAAAATACTGTTCTTAAGGGACCATGGTTTATTTTGGAGGGAAATAAAGTAACATAACTTTGTAATTTAATCTTTATACATTTAAAGATAACTTGTCAGTAGTTAATTTTGCTTAAGTTTTTTTTCTTTTTTTGCATTTTTATTACACTCGTTGCATTGTGTTATATATACATATATAAAATTTGGCTTTTTTTTTTTTTTTTTTTTTTTTTTTAGTTTTTTCCATTAAGAAGTTTAGTGAATTAAATCAGACCAGGGCAGATTTGATGTATGAAGTTTATAATATGTGTACATCCTTTTTCTCTTTTGTTATATTTGGAATCTCCCAACTGAAGTGTAATGTTACTAAACTAATTTGCATTTATGTAAGTGCTCATTTATGCTTTCTTGGTAACAATGATGTATTTATAATATCTTAATTTGGACAGCACATCTTTAATATCAGGTTCTGGCCTTTCATTTTCATCTCTATGAATATTTGAAATATATAATGTACATATTATACTAGCATATATGTATTACTGTATAAAAATTGAAATTGAAAATGTTTATGTTAAACATTCTCATATAATTGTAAAGAAAATAACTTAAACCTGCAAATATATTTTAAGAACTTACCTCCATCCTCTTTTAGTAATTGGTGTTACCTTACCAAATTAAAGTGCATAAATTATTAAATTTAATTAGATGAAAATGAAGCTAACAGTTTTCTCTTCCTTGTTCTTTATTTACAGCCCGGTTTGCCACCTCAGAATTTCTCAATGTCTGTCACAGTCCCTGTGACCAGCCCCAGTGCTTTGTCCTACACTAACCCAGGGAGTTCACTTGTGTCCCCATCTTTGGCAGCCAGCTCAGCATTAGCAGATACAAGCATGCTCTCTCCACCTCAAGCCACATTACATAGAAATGTATCCCCTGGAGCTCCTCAGAGACCACCAAGTACTGGCAGTGCAGGTATGTACTGATACTTATTCTTCTGATTCTTTAAAAGAATGAAAAAATTAATTGCTAATATGAACAGTTTCTTATTCTGCTACTTTTAATGTTATTGCTTTGGTAAGCAAGAGTCACTACTACATAATTACCCCCATTTTCAAGTATTTATTTTTGAAAGTCTGTGGCTCTAGCATTGTACAGGTATTGTGGAACAAATAGAGAACCTGCCTATTTTGGGAAATAAGCTTTCCATATCATGGGGATGCTACACCTACACAGGCAGAAAATTTATTTAGGATATCATAAAGATTAAAAATTGATTGTGATCCAGTTGTGTTAAAAAATCAGAGATAGACTCACTTAGAATGAGAGCATTTTCTGCATCCCCCTCTGCCTTATTTGTTCATTAACTCAGACACTTGAGGTGCATTTACTGCATCTCTGTGTATAATGCGATTATCTCCTCTCCCATTATTCCTAGATTTTATAGCACTCTATTAGCACTGCCCCATTCTTGTCAATATGTACTTATTTGGTATTGAGTCACAAGACGGCAGACATGTCCAGAGCTTGATAGATGAGTGCCTGTATATTAGACTACATCATAACGCTGAGTTCAGACTGGGCTAGTTTTTATTTTCATGTTTTTTAGGAATGAAGTGAGGGTTACCTCTGGTCAATTCATTCTCATTCAGATAAGGAGAATCAATTCACATTCACTCCTTGCCCTCTCTCCTGTCTCTGTAATGTTGTTAGGTGGGATGTTGAGCACTTCAGACCTCACAGTGCCAAATGGAGCTGGAAGCAGCCCAGTGGGTGAGTGAATTCTTACTGCTTCACTTTGTTGGCATCTGTCTTATCTGAGATAAAAGGAATACTGTCCCTCGAACAAGGGTTTCTACGAAGTGAAGAGGAAAATATGGGATAAATGACTAGAGTAGACCATGTCACTTTATGATTTGTTTAGTTATTGCTTTCACTAATACTTAAGAGTTTTTGATACCCCTGTGTTATTCCTCATATCTTGGCCTTACATTCACTTATTCATTCAATAAATATTTATTTTATGCCTCCTTCATAACAGACATTGTTCTTTTCTAAAGACTAAATTGCCTTAATACAATTTTTACATTAAGATAATTTCTTAAGGAGAAGCTTTCTGTGTCACCTGTCCCTACCAAAACCAGACTGTTAGCAGACCGCTGTATTTTACAATTGTGTGAAATGTTTTCAGGGAGATTGCCATAGGAAGAAATAGTGGGCCTAATTAAGAAGTCTGTCTCCAAAGGATCAGTTTTGATCGTCACATGTGGAGCATTCACGTTTTGTCGTGGTTGCTGCCAGATTGGCTCTCTTGCTTTGGAACCCCTTCCAAGATGACTTGCAGTTTAAAAATTTCACAAATGTGTCTGCCCAGCTCTGAAATCCTGGTAAAGATAGATTATGATCTTAACATTACAGAAACATGGCATATATGTCATAGAGCCGCAGGAATAACTATTATTTTGGGTTACCATCAGATTTAGTTGTGTTGGTCTCTTCATCTAGGATAATCCCAGTTACCTTCATTTTTATCTGAAAGCAAGGGAAGGAATTCCCTTCCTCTTTTAGGTATTGTGTGTTTAGAGAGAGATCTGAAAACAGATCACTTATAGGAAAAATTCCCTATTACGTATGTTCAACCCACTTATTCCAAAAATGTAAGGAGCTGCTTCCCTTGTGACTCAGCTGGTAAAGAATCCGCCTGCAATGTGGGAGACCTGGGTTCCACCCCTGGGTTGGGAAGATCCTCTGGAGAACAGAAAGGCTACCCACTCCAGTATTCTGGCCTGGAGAATTCCATGGACTGTATAGTCCATGGGGTTGCAAAGAGTTGGACATGACTAAACAACTTATACTTTTCTGCCTTAAGAAAATTTTGATGATTGAATAACTTAATTTAAAATGATGAGAAAGAAAGAAACAGACATTATTTAATGAGAGTTACAAAACATATAGTGACCTAAAGTAGGAATAAATGCCTGATTGTTTCTGCCTCTGTATTAATTGCTGTTTTAATGGACTCAAATAGATAGGACCTGTTGTAGGATCTTTTTTAACAGATAATTAAATGTGGAGAAATTCATACAGGTCTTACCAATTATACATTAGGACTGCTATCTTTGTAACTGTATTTCCTAATATTTATAGTTTCTTTTCAACTCTATTTTAGTTGTTTACATGCCCATATACTCTTTTTATATTGCATTTTTCTATATGCTTTTATTCTCCCAACACTATGCATCTTGCTCTGTTCTCGACTTTCCAGCCTGCTTAAGGCTAGAATCAATAATTTCTATTTTGTTTAATATTAATTTTGACTAGTTCTTAGTTTTAGTTCCAAAATTATTTTTATTTCACAACTATTTGAAGATTTCTAATGTGTTTTCCCTTTGCCTTTTTTTCCCTCTCATCCTCTGACTTGATAAACATTGTTCTCCTTCCTATCAAATAAGTCTTTTAATTCTCTTCTTGCTTTATTTTTGGTTTTTGTACTCTCCGTACTTCCCTAAAGCTTTTTCTCTGTTCTTTCTTATCTGCCATGCAACTACAAATCTAGACTATGCTGCTCAGTTTTCTGTGTTCCATTTGATGCTTTCAGACTCAGATTTTGTCACCGTCTTAATTTGACCTTTTACATATTATCTAATCCTGTTACTTTTATTTCTTTTTTAAATTCATGTTTCTTTTGTAAGCTTCCTCTCCTAGTTTCTAGACCCTCGGGTTTGGAGGGTCACATTAGTTACACTCTTCAAATTATGGCACGTCATCTCAGCATCTCTCAGTATGCTATTCACTTACCCCTTTATACTTCTATTCCATTCCTGTTCTCTTCCTCCTCTCCCACCCCCAGTCCCCAGTCATAGGCAACTGTTTTAATATGTTTAGTGCTAATAGTGTTAATTAATCATATTAATGATGATGGCTAGTGAACATGATTTTTTTTTAATTTAAAATTTAAGTATTAAGATATTTTAACTGCTTAGTGAGTTACTTGAAAGTCTATTTCTGTTACTACACGGTAATACAGTATAACCTCAGTCTTATGACACATCAGGATTGAATGTCTTGATTCCTCACTGGTTCATATTCCTATATACCTATTTTACCTGTGCTAGGTGTATTTCTACTTTTTCTACTTGTTTGCTTTATATCCTAAATGATGTTTTTGTTCTAACTGCTTATTAATATGTACCACCTTAGAATTCAGATTCAACTAAGTAGACACATTGCATCACTTAATCCAGATACCAAATGGAAGTATTTATTTTTGTGTAGTACTTATAGCATACATGTTTCTTGCTGTAAATCACCCCCCGCCCCAATAAATGGTCTCTCATAGGTATTGTAGACCTATTGTTAGTTTTTGTGAAGAAGAGTCAGAAAATATATTTTAGCCTATTTTCAGCAATCATGCCATTTTGGTTTAGTAGTTTGGAAAAATAGTTTAAACTCAATTTTATCCCTGAAATCTTTTTAATGTAAAGATTAAACATTTTAAATTCCCATAAAAATTAAGAAGAAAATATATTAAAAATTGTGGATATGATTTCTCATCTACATTTTTCAAAGTATGTTTCTTGAAACTACATGAAAAGAATTACTTATCTATATGAGTGGCAAACCTTGTACTGAGTAAAACTAAACAGGTTTCTTTACTGAAGGACTTGTCAGAGCCTTTACAATGCTAACCTGTTTAGCATTTTTACTAATGCTTTAAACTGTGGTTATTCAAAGTGATATTACAGTAGAACCCTTTTTTTTTTTCCTAATGAAGAATCATCTTGCAGAATTCAGTTCAGTCGCTCAGTCATGTCCGACTCTTTGTGACCCCATGGACTGCAGCTAGTCAGGCTTCCCTGTCCATCACCAACCCCCAGAGCTTGCTCAAACTCATCTCCATCAAGTCAGTGATGCCATCCAACCATCTCATCCTGTGTCATCTCCTTCTCCTCCTGCCTTCAGTCTTTCCCAGCATCAGGGTGTTTTCCAATGAGTCAGTTCTTTGCATCAGGTGGCCAAAGTATTGGAGTTTCAGCTTCAGCATCAGTCATTCCAATGAATATTCAGGACTGATTTCCTTTAGGATGGACTGGTTTGATCTCTTTGCAGTCCAAGGGACTCTCAAGAGTCTTCTCCAGCACCGCAGTTCAAGAGCATCAATTCTCCAACACTCAGCTTTCTTTATAGTCCGACTCTCACATCCATACATTACTACTGGAAAAACCATAGCTTTGACTAGATGGACCTTTGTTGGCAAAGTAATGTCTCTGCTTTTTAATATGCTGTCTAGGTTGGTCAGAGCTTTTCTTCCAAGGAGCAAGCATCTTTTAATTTCTGGCTGCAGTCACCATCTGCAGTGATTTTGGAGCCCTCCAAAATAAAGTCAGCCACTGTTTCCACTGTTTCCCTGTCTATTTGCCATGAAGTGATGGGACCAGATGCCATGATCTTAGTTTTCTGAATGTTGAACTTTAAGCCAACTTTTTCACTCTCCTCTTTCACTTTCATCAAGAGGCTCTTTAGTTCTTCACTTTCTGCCATAAGGGTGGTGTCATCTGCATATCTGAGGTTATTGATATTTCTCCCAGCAATCTTGATTCCAGCTTGTGCTTCATCCAGCCCAGCGTTTCTCATGATATACTCTGCATATAAGTTAAATAAGCAGGCTGACAGTATACAGCCTTGCTGCTGCTGCTAAGTCACTTCAGTCATGTCTGACTCTGTGCGACTCCATAGATGGCAGCCCACCAGGCTCCCCCGTCCCTGGGATTCTCCAGGCAAGAACACTGGAGTGGGTTGCCATTTCCTTCCCCAATGCATGAAAGTGAAGTTGCTCAGTTGTGTGTAACTCGTAATGACCCCATGGGCCGCAGCCTACCAGGCTCCTCCGTCCATGAGATTTTTCTAGGCAAGAGTACTGGACTGGCTTGCCATTGCCTTCTCTGATACATCCTTGATGTACTCCTTTTTCTGTTTGGAACAAGTCTGTTGTTCCATGTCCAGTTCTAACTGTTGCTTCCTGACCTGCATACAGATTCCTCAAGAGGCAGGTCAGGTGGTCTGGTATCCCCATCTCTTTAGGAATATCACTGTTGTGATCCACACAGTCAAAGTCTTTTGCATAGTCAATGAAGCAGAAGTAGTTTTTTTTTTTTTTTTTTGAGTTTCCTTGCCTTTTCTGATATCCAGAGGATGTTAGCAATTTGATCTCTAGTTCCTCTGCCCTTTCTAAATTCAGCTTACACATCTGGAAGTTCTTTGTTCATGTACTGTTGAAGCCTAGCTTGGATTTTGAGCATCTCACTGGCATTTGAAATGAGTGCAATTATATGGTAATTTGAACATTCTTTGGCATTGCCTTTCTTTGGGATTGGAATGAAAGCTGACGTTTTCCAGTCCTGTGGAACTGCTGAGTTTTCCACATTTGCTGGCATACTGAGTGCAGCACTTTAACAGCATCATCTTTTAGGATTTGAAATAACTCAGCTGGAATTCCATCACCTCCACTAGCTTTGTTTGTAGTAATGCTTCCTAAGGCCCACTTGTTGTCACACTCCCATATAGCCAGCTCTAGGTGAGTGATCATGCCATTGTGGTTACCTTAGTCATTAAGGTGTATCATTTTTTGTATCATTATTTTTGTATCATTCTGTGTGTTTTTGCCACCTCTTCTTTATCTCTTCTGTTAGGTCCTTGTTGTTTTTATCCTTTATTGTGCCCATCTTGCATGAAATATTCCTTGGTATCTCTAATTTTCTTAAAGAGATCTATAG